GCGACGTTCGAATAGGGTAAACCCGCCTATATCAGTCAATGTTTTTTCAACAAGATAAGAACGTTAAAGAAGTATTAAAACATTCTCTCTAACAGATAATCAGTGAAATCCGCTTAAAGCTTTTAGAGCAAAGATTTAAACAAAAGAAACTTCTTTATTTATTGTTAAATTTTCGTTCCTTTAAAACTCAAAATTAGCAGCCTTGAAATGATGGCATTTTCCTTGACTACTCTACCGAAGACGGACGATTTGATTCTTAAATACACATAAATACTGTCTTGAGAAGTCAAAGACTTGTATATCTAAACAAAATTCAAGAGGACTTTTAAGCCAAGCAGATAGTTATCGCCTATTTGAAGGGTGGCGAAATATAATGTAAATCCATTAGCGACTTAGACAAAGTGATAAAAATGTTCCGTCCGTTGGAGGATAAAAACTTGGTCATTCTATGCAAAAACCTTGTGTGTTCTTTCCTTACACTCGTCGCACGTTTTCAACGCGTGGCATAAACAAAAGAACTTTATTTTAGGTTGTGAGCGTCTAAGAAACCTAGATTTTTTTTTGGGGAGTGTTAGATTCATTAACTATCTTTTGATCATCCCTGAGCACAAAAGCGAAAAGTAAACTAATGGCCAAATTATCAAACTAACTCTTCGAAACACGCGTGTCAGATGCAACATGAAACCCGAAGAGACTCGTGCTTTCCGGGTTCGGTATCTTTGAACTGAAATGGTCGATTTTCTTCAAAGAAAAGCGCTTCAGTCTTTTAAAATTTAATTTCGTTCGCTTGAAACTTATTTGAAAGCTCTGACAGGTTTTAATGAACCTTACAGCTTTAACCGGATACTGATAAAAAATTGGTCAACATTTTCCGAGTTCGAAAGTAATGGCAAATTACAGTGTAATACAATTTTCTTGTCGCCGGTAAGCTCTTTAATCCAGAAGAATAATATCATAAATTACTTTACCGTAATTTCCTGCAATAATTTTCTTTTTAGGCCATTGACAATCGGAGTGAGCACAATGGTTATGGTTGCCATTAGCAAGGGAAACAAAGACACAGAGGAGTTTCCCAGAATTTCTATTTTTACTTGTTGAACCAATATCACTACACTATCTAAGAAAAAAAATATCATCTTTAAATTCGGAACACGACGATAAACGTTTCCACAAATAGCTGGAAGAAGGTGCTTTAGTTTATATCTGTTAAACAAAATATTTCACTGAATAGAGGGTAATATTGGAGGTGTTTTAGCCGAGGGTAAAATCTTAACAAATAAACTGTCCTGAAAGCGCAGGTTGGCAGGCATACAATATCGTTGATTCACTGTCTGCGAAATGCATTAGTAATGTCAACTCATATCCATGGCTCTTCTGTTTGTTGTTGAGAGAACACATAATGATCAAACTCACAAACTAATCGGAAGGATTTCCTTTCTGACAAAGGCAAGCCAAGCCGACATTGGTAAACAAAAGAATATTTTGTGCAATGGCCTCAAACGTTTCCTATGGGAGCAACCTGGCTATAAGCAAATGGTACCCTTTGAATTTTTTTAACGAGCGAAGATAAAAAAAAAAAAGCTGCACCAATTGAAAGCATAAATGTACATTCAAACCAATCGCCGTAGGTTTTATGCTTGGAAAAGAATAGAATCGCACAAAAAGAGGATAAAATGAGAGAGAAATTGAATAGATTGTACGCTGTGTACAGTTAGCAAGATCGATTTCCATGGCAATCACTATGAGCTACAACACCCCATAAACAATAATGTACTGGCCGACGCTTTCTAAAAGCGCGCTCAATGGCACGTTGCACTAGAAGATAGTTGTAATTTAAGCTTCCATTTTTAACTTATCGGAAGGGCAAATGTTCATTTTTCACTATCACCAAATGTACCACAAGAACGTGCTCGGAGACCGTTTACTGCTTCGCGATCTGAATCGCACTTGAACACCTTGAGAGACGTCTCGTGCGACATGATAAATCAGGGGAATACAAAAACAATGCGATCGTATGGCGCAGTCTTTTTCTTTTATTTACAAAACCACGCTTGTGGTTTTTGCAAGCAAGTCTGTCTGCAGTTAAAAGCGATTCGTGCCGCGTGAATAAACAACACCACGAAATGTGCTTGTAATTACAAATGGTTTTTAAATACAGTCTTCACTGTCTCCACTAACTCCTCTTTGTTTTCTCTTTTCGTCTTAAACAAGAAGTGCTGCTTCGTAGGCCAAACACTGAATTTTTACCCTACAAAAGTACCATTTGAAAACCATTTTCACTGAGGAGTTTTCATCACCTTGTACAGCGTAGTAAATATTACGACATGACAGTACTGCTCAGACGCTTCCATTTGAAAGGTCAAACACAAGGATTTTATGTTGACAGACTTTCTGAAAATGCTTAACTTGCCTCGCCCATAAATTACCATAGCAAATGAAAGAAATGTTTTAGTAACTTTCAGTTGAGTAATACACCAAGGTTTCACCCACAAATTTTAAATACAGAATTACTTTTCACAACATTAAACTACTTCATGAAATAAGGGGGTAAGTTTCTAAAGAAACTGTGCTGCTGCATCGGTGGGGGGGCATTTCAAGAGAGAACGATGAAAAGCTAACAATCGAGACGTCGGCTTTAGTAATTCTTTACGGCGGCCAATTTACATCATCGAGACAGCTGATGAAACCAAATATTCTACTACGTGATGATACCGCTAGGTAGCTTTCATTCGATTTATACTTCATTTTTTTTCATAATATTTTTTCCCCAATGAGTAAAGCCGCAACAGTAAATTCTACCGGCCTTGCAGAGACATTGTTGGCAGGAACAAACAAAGAGGGATTTAATTCCAAATTTACACGCAGGAATTTTTTTCTTTTTCTGGGTGGAATGGGAGAGGATAATATAGCACAGATCTCTTTGTCTCATTCCCCATTGAAAAAGCGTTTCCATTTTTAAGTAACTGATATCTACATCCCTGTTCCTTTCTGGCTAAAAGACATAATTAATCTCATGTGCTCTCTGTACTGAGTCGAAGTTTGCTTTGAAGTCATTTGGATAAATGAAATTTGACATCGGAATTTAAAATCCAAACTGGTGAGAAACTTTCTCTTTCCGTGACTCATTTAGACACAAATGCCTTTTTATCTGCCCTTCGCAGCCTCGATAGCGGTCAAGAATAAAGTCCGGTTTTTCGAGCAATATAAATTACGAGTCGATTATGAATAATACAGAAATTCCAATCTTCTCTCAAAAGGTTTCAGGTGAACTGTAAGTTTTCTTTCTCTTAAACCCTTTGACTCCTAAGAGTGACTAACATCTAATTTCTCCTTACAATTTCACTCCTGAATCAAGCATTATGGTCACGAGAATAATAGAACTGATCACCGACTAAAGAAGCTCTTGTTTGCTAAGCAAACTCTCCTTGTCAGCACCACAGGAAATGTGTAGTGAACAGTATGGAGAATATGCATATTGATGTTGGCGTGTTAAGGGTTAATAAACTCTAAGAGAAATTAGCGTACTGAAGATAAAACACGAGTAAAAGGCTTGGTTTCGTGCTAGCTGATGTCCGCTGGTATTTCAGTTTCATTATCTCGTTTGCGAAAATATTATACTCTCATCTGACATCTGAAAACCTGTTTTTTCAACATCCCTCGAAGTTTCATGCTACGATGCGACCGGAAGCCACGCGGAAAATTTACACCCTGATGTGCTTTGAAACATATTTAAGTTGTTGGTATGTTTACGAGATCTTCACAGCGGAAATGTTTGACACAACGTCAAGGAAGCAGCAAAATATTTTAATGAAATATCCATCGTACTTCTGAATATGGGAACTTGGGTACATTCATTTAGACTAATGTTTGCAAGCACATCCTTGTAAAAAGTTCATACTGTTTGAACATCGGCAGGCTTTTCTTTCTCTGTTTATTTAAGAACAGCGTGTTTTCCTTTTTCTCGTTAGTTTTGAGCAAACGTTATGTCGTTATCTCAATATTTATGGCCTTCAGTAATGCTGAAAGATGCTGAATACGTGATAAGGCCCAGAAGTTACTGTTAAGTTGCAAACCTGGCGGAGATTTGTAAAGGAAATTCCCCCATTAATTGCAGACTCTTATGAAAGGTATTCGCATACAGATCATATTTTTTAAATCTACAACTCATCAAGTCGGACCGAAATTTTTAAAATCTGCCTCTCAAAATCTTAATTCAAGTTAGATTTCTCAAAGCTGCTTAATTTCCTTAACCGCTTTTAACATTGCAGTACCTTATTTTAAAATTTAGCTATGAAAAGTTTTTTACATATCTGCAAATCTTTTCAGATTTGCAGATATGTTAAAAAAAAATTTAAGATACCACCAAAGCAAGGAAAAATTTCTCAGGTCCTTCAATTAACATTTCTAAGAAATGAAAAGGTTGTTTGCTTTGGCAATTAACAAGCACTTTGTGATTAATATCATAACAATTGATGTATAGCGCTCATTCACTCAACAGATTATGTAACACTTCCAGCTGGTAGACCTAGGAGTTAAATTTCGCTCCAAACACGAATTTTTAAGTGTAGCGCTTTCAAACTTTTGCCGGATCTTTACACTGAAATAACTGTTACGAAATGAATTATTGAGTTGTCTCAGTGATGAAGTACGCAAGAATGTTTATGGAGCCAGCATATAAAGTTATCATATTTGAGGTTTCCTGTCTCCAGAAGCGTTAATTCAAGTTTGGCAAAATTGTGCGCGTTCTTTAAATTACTTTGCACTTGGACAGAATTGTCGGAGGTAGTGAAATGATTAGCAGTTCCTCACATCACCTTACATTTTTGTCACCTCATCGGAAATGTTAACGAGTAAATAAAAAGTAATTTTCAGACATAATCAGTTGTGAAAAATTCACAAGCGAGAACATTTCAGTAACTAAGGGTGAAAGCTGATTTAAGATTCCAATCCGCAGAGCAATGGTTTCTGAACAAAAATGTAATCGTAGTTTGTAATCTTACCGCATTATTCTTGAGCCTTCGATCCTTCTGCAAAACACCTTGGATTTCTGGCAAAATCATCCTCATAACTTGCCTCTTCAATTCTACCAGCCGGTTGTTGCATTTTTCACACCAAACACCAAGTTCTCGAGGAATTTCGTTCGGCTTCGTGGAAGTCCGAGAATGGCGAGGAACTCCCGAAGCACGCATGTCGGAAATCTGAAAAGAAAGGGAAATTTTGCCTCTGTAAGCTTTTTCAAAATTGCTATAGGACTTCAAATGGATTAATATCCTCGATAACACATTTACCTGTGCAGCTAAGCGACTTATACCTTCGATAAACTATAACAAACCACTGCGGCCGGGGAGTATAAATCTGTATAACATTTTCAAGAGAAATCCTTCGCTAATCCTCATTCACTAAATCGCGTCAAAGCCGTAAACCATTTATTGGTTGGTTTATCTCGCAGCCCACAAGAGCAGCTCTTCGTTAAGTCGGTAATCAGATTTTTGTTTCTCTCTCGAGTGCACCGCTTTTGGAGTAGTAACTTGAGCTTGAATGGAAAACGTTTTCAATTCCTTTTGAGAACATGTCTTGATAATTATCGGGCGATGAAAGGTTGTGGAAACACTGCAGATGTTGTTTGGCAGGACGTCTTAGGCTGGTCACGATAGAAACGGACAAAACATCACGCCATGATAAATCTCACGTTGAATTTAAATGGTTTTCCTTGAGCCAAAGAAAGCAATCAAAATCAAGTCTTAGCAAGATCGTTCACTAACAGAAGAATCTACAGTCGGCCTTTTTTTCTAACCTCAACTCTCGACAAGATTCATTTCGCTTTCAACACCTCCGAGCCCGACAAAAATTTAACGTTACTAATGAATAGCGCAGAGAATTTTAAAATATCACAGCGACCAGCCAGTTTTCTTCAAGTTCAAAGATTTAACACCTTCAGGTAGCTGAGAAATCCTTATTTTATTAATGTTGCGTGGCTTGTCTTTATATGCTCGCTTGCGATGACAATAGGGTTTTTATGCTTTATTCCTCAATTTTTCCCATACATCCTTGCCACAATTTTTTTATCTACGCGAGAACAAAATGCCTTGTAGTAAAAAAAAACATTTAAGTTTCGTTGCAGCTTTCTCATCCTAAAATTCTCTGTTTATATTATGGATATATCAAGGAATAGCGATAAACCATACGGCCAAAAGTTCTTTACCACAGTCGCAGCTCATAAAACAGTTCTCGTTCGTTAATATCAACGATGCAGAGTTGTTCAAAAAGTGAGAAAAAGGAGAACTCAAGCTCTCGTTACGAAGAAGAAAATACACAACTGAAGGAAAACCACGTCTACTTTAAGAATTGCTTGCTGGGGTGAAACAAATGAAAACAACGCAGTTTGAGGGCAGTCCTTCTTTGTCTAAGTTCTCTAATGAAGATAAAAAAAAAATATATCAATAGGTCGTTTAGAGGAAGTGATTAATTAGCTCAGACCGGAAGTTATCGAAGCATGACGTCTGCCAAAAATAGTCACGCCAGTTATAACACGGGTGTCGGTGACCACGACTAATAATTACAAATGCGCTCAACAAAATTCCCTAGAATGCAAGACGGTAAGTCGTAGTTATAACACTTTAGTTGAGAAACACCATACATTAGCTTTTTGAATGCAAATCATTGGACAGGATCTCTAACTATGTTCTGTCAATTTCGTGTGAACAGAAATAACTCGGGGTTGCGGTTGTCTCAGTGCGCCTTGGCAGACATTTCACAAAAAGCCCTTGATTGCTGCAGACAAAGGAGAGCGAAGTTGTTTTTCAAAGGTCATGAGAGCCAATTAAATTCACAACCTCGTGGAAATTTCTAGCATGGCAATAGGTTTCTCATTTCTTTCATTCGCTCAGGCAATACAACAATTTTTTGAACAGAAAATCGAACCAGAATGTATTTTTTTCACTAGAACTTATCCTGTAAACAAAAACATCGAGGTGAAGGCATGGAACGTTGAAAAAATTAGAGTTGAAATGTTCCGCTTTATTGACCGGAGCGAGTGGTAATTTTAGCTCTCAAATGATCTTAAAACAGGTAGCGATGAACGACTACATTATAATTTTGACAAAGAGAATAATTGCGATTGAGGCTTTTTGAGGGTATCACTATATCTTCTTAGAACAATAGATTTCAAGGAGCTCTGTCAGGAGGTTGTTCCTTTTTGTCGCATATTTGTCAATACTACTAATTGAGAGCCGTCGGAGTTTTGATATCCACTAAACAAATTTGCGTGACTAAGAACAAATCGCGAAACCTTTGTGTTCTCGCTTCCTTGGGCGTGACCTTACCACACCCCACAGTTGCCTCATTGAGGGCGTTGAAGTCTGGATTGCTGAAACGATACAAATTGTGTTCTCAAAGATGGACGCCACTTCGAATTCAGCCCATTTACCGGAATAGAAGTTGAAAGGTCGTGCCTTCTTCAAGTCGGTAACCGAGATAAAATTTCCCAAACGAACATTCTAGTCACCGAAATGAAATACAAGCCCGTTAAAACAAGCTAGAATTTCGTCATAAACAGAAGGCAAATTATGTCGCGCTGACTGGTCTCATGTGAAGAGTTCTTTAAAGAGCGGGAAAAAATTCAGGCACATTGGCACGCGTATTGAAGATAACTAATCTTTAAAGAATCACTGCATACCCATGATACAACGTAATGTTGTAGATCCCTCGTGTTAATTAACTCCTGTAGTTTCCGATCGCAGAGAGAGAGAGGGAGAGGGTTCGTTTAAAACAGTAACTGGCACTTAAATTAAGTCTCGACCATTTATTCTTACGAGATTTCCTGTTGCCCTCTTTACTCACAAAGAGTGAATGAAATCTAAAATTGTAGTTGATTTTGTCCTGTCATTAATTACATGTAGATAATGAACTAAAAAAAAATTTATCGATGAGGAAAGTAACATCAAATACAGAGCAGCTGTGCTTGTTGCTTTTCGGAAGCAACGAACAAATTTTCATTCCTTTTATTTCAAATGAAAGTGCATTTTTTCAGTTTTTTCATTAAGGAAAATTGAGACACTGAACTCTAAGAGTTAATTATCTCAATCATTTAGTAAAAGAGGATTAAGTCTGTTGCAAGTTTACCATGAGATTTTTTTTTCTTTTTCAACGAGAACTTTAGTTTTCCAAGCGGAAATCGTTATAGAACCAGAGAGGGTGAAAAAACAGATGGAAAGATTGACGAACAACGCATTTATCTATGGCAAAATAAATACGATGAATGAACTGTCAATTACGAGAAGCGCCTTGAATGAAAGACTTGTTTTAAATGACATGGCACCTGAGACGTGATATGAACAAGTACAAAATACAACTGCGGCTCACCTTTGCGCCTCATGAGACGAGCTTGTTTTGATTTGCGTGAACTTATTTTCTCAAGGAAAGTTTAGTCATTCACTTCGAGAAGTGTTAGTTCCAATTCAAGTTAATAAGGAAATAATAAACGATGCATACATCCTTGAACTTTAAAAGCGGCTGAACAAACAACAAGATTAAGTTCAAGTATGCGATTTGGCACACGCTGCTATGATAATAACATACCGGGAGGTATCAAAGTCAAGTGGAGATGAAAGAGAGAAGAAACGCGTCTGTGAAGAATCTAAGGATAATTAATTAATTTTTCGCGACTTTTACGTTATAAAAACGAATATTCATGTGCTAAAATTTTAAAAAAATTCGCGTTCAAAGGCCTCCGTTTTCCCCACCTGTGCTTCTCCCTACCCCCCACTCTCAAACTGCTCCCCCAACCCATCCCATAGTGGTGTTAGTGGTCGATCTCCCCCCTTTCAGTATTGGGCATCACTAAGCCATCCCACAGGCCAAGGATCTCCCATCGGTTCTTAGTCAGTTTGAAATTTTCAAGGAATATCAGCTATGTGTTTGAAATTTCTTTTGGTTTGACGATTGTTCTCTCCCCCTTTTCTACCCTAATGTCTATTTACGTGTGTCTGGGTGAAAACAGAAACTACAGCTATGTATCATTTTGCTCATATTACCTACGGATGACGAAGCATTCTTGGGCGCTGATATTTCTTTTTATGCCGTATACAGCTACATAAACGTTTAAGGCATCCAAAGATTTTCAAATTGGTCATATTTTAAAATGAATTTTCCAAATGAACACCGCGCGTTTCAGTTGAAATGTCCTCTGGAAATCCGATTCGCCGCAACGCTTGCCAAAAAATGTCAATATTTCCACTCAAATTCAAGTTTTTCCCCATTTTCTCCAAATGTGGAATGCTTTCTCCAAAAGCAATAGAATAACCTCAACTAATATTTTCACAGATGGATAAACAATTGTGGTTATGAAATTAGATAGAACTTTCAGTGCGGTTTACAATTCTATTTCAATTACTTGCTAATCTAATTATGGTGTGTTTTTTTCACTTCTGTGAAGAGTGGCAGTACAAAAGGTTTGAAAAGGCCTCCAGCGATGCGGAGACCTTTAGTGCGCAGTTTACAGGCTATCCTTTTGTTCAGTTTGGGTGGCATATGATTGACCTTTGACGAAGAGTAGGATGTAGTTGGAGCATTTACCTTTGAACGAATGGAAATTTAACCTCTGTGGGAAAAACGCAGTTGGTGTAAGTACAAACGTACTGCCGCCAAAGTTCGACGCATTTCATAAATCTTCGCGGCGATTGGTCGATAAGCAGGCGTTGTTACACGACCAGCCTGATACCCTCAAGTCCTTCGACGGTATGAATCAGGACAAGAAACAACTGACTGCAGTTTTCGATCAACGAAGTGTGTAAAAGAAAACTGAGCCTATCACTTAATTGTTTAAAAAATTGCTTTTCTTGTATAATCTTACGATATTTCCTGTTGTGTTCCACGAAGGTTATTTAAGGTCAAGGTACTCTTTACTTTCCTACCCTCCGGCGAGGAATATGAATTTTGTCCCCGCAAATTGAAGGAATTTGAGGCGTGGCAACCACGGAATGTCAAGGTTTTCTCCAAACGTTTATTGCGTGAAAGGACATTGAACAATTTTTACTTGACGTAACTCCAAATGGCTTTAATTCTGGATGCCTGACTGAATGGAAATTTAATCATCCTTTAAAAAAAATGCTGTAACGATAGCGTATTTGTATGCAAGCTAGACTAAGTTGTATTCCAATAAAAGTTTTATTCAAGAAAAATTGAGGACTGCTACAAATTG